CGATTGAACTGATCGAGTTGATTTGTGCAATCAGTGCATTAGCAACATTGTGTTTTACAGTACGATTGTTTTTTTTGTCTTGATACACTGTACATGTAGGTCTTCTGTGGCAACTTCTTTGTGAATTGACATCAAATTTTGGCAGATCCTGTGAGAAGGCAACTCAAGTCGACATTTTGACAACACCAGCTAATACAATTGGTAAATTCAGTTATCCTCAAATGTCAATTTGCTATAAGGTATTGGAAGTGCAAGAGTTTATGAGATCTTCAAATCAAATTCATGTATTCCAGTGGTGTGCATGTGGCAGAAACCATCACAAGACCAGACACAAGTCAGATGGTGGAGCTTAACAGTGACAAAGGAATGCCTTTAAATAGATTGTGAGTTAAATTCAGGTAGACAGGATGTCTTGTACGATACATGTATGCTGATCTTGTGTGTTGGCCTTGTGTAGCTCTGATGTACACAAGGCAGCAGGCCATGGATAAGGCCGTGGGGAACAGTAAGACATTTGCACTTCTACTGCATTGGCTCAGTTTCTGAAGGAAAGTCTGCAAATGGGAATGGGAAATGGGATTCCCTGAGTCTATCATGTGTCAGCACTTCTTAATATACATATAATTGCCTTAATACAGAGAAGAAGCTTACCGCTGTGGATGAACTGTTTGACGGTGGAATGGATGGATTTCATGAGAGCAATCAGCATGGAATGCAGGCAAAACTACTGTCATTTCAACGAAAAATGGAAGCCCGAACTAAGGAAGAAATCACAAAGGAGGTAAGTGCATGCATTCCTGTGTATTGGCATGTGTGAACTTTCCCTCATTCTAATATATGTTTTGGCTTGTTCATGCTTTGAAATGAAAAAGAAATTGTTTATCACAAAAGACTTACAAATGTGAAGTTTTAGGGCCTTATCTGCCCTGAGTTGAAGTGCACCCTCATCGGCGAAAGAAAGACTGACTGATGAGAGGTTGTCAACCAGGTTCTTGCAGACGTTGGGCTTGCAAGCAAAGACCATTACCGTACATTCCAGAATAAATGTGTTTCCCATACTCAGTGTCCTCTGCGTCAAACATGCATAAATGTGCCCACCTTTGTGGTGAGTTCATTACCAAGGACTATCAATTTAATTTGAAAACATGCCCTCTTTTGTGCCCACTCATAGCAGATTGTCTAGTACATCTCATGATTGTTTGGGTTTTCCTCTTATTAATGTTGATAGTGAATTGCAAGTGTTGAGATATACATCCTCCTTAAGTCAAAGAATATTTTATTCAATACTTAAGACATAATAAGCATTGATATCAAAGATGTAGAGCCTCTAGCAGCCATTTATGAAGGTTTGTACCCTTCCATGTATTCATTTTGCATTGTAACTCTTTAAGGTTAACATGCCCTACCTCTCTGAATGGATTGTTTTACAGTGTGTCATTTTCCTCCTTAGGTCTGCCGGTTTAAGGAAAGCGAAGGCAAGAGAATTGAGCTTGAAGAACGAGAGAAATGTCGGCAGGAAATTGCCAAGTCAAGAAGAGAGGTTCGGGATTTTCATTTTTAGTTGTTGTCAAGTGAAATGCTCTTTTTATCTCCATGTAGTTTATCACTGACCACCATTTTTTGTGACCAGCTAGAAGTCTGTGGATTATTCTGTGCTCATTCAAACACCTATACATAGGTGGAAATCTGGGGGTGGGGGACACGTCCCCCCATGAATTTGGTATGGGGGAGGGACACAGTGTCAAATGTGCCCTTCATGTTGTAAGTAAAACAAAATACTGAAGGGATTAATGGATGGAGGATTTTCCCTTTTGAGTTTTTATAAATGGACTAAGATAATAAACACGGTGTGCACAAAAAAGTGTAAATTGATGTCCCCCCTCCATAATCGAGGAGAGGTTTCCGCCCATGCTCTCATCCTACCAGACTCAGACAAAACTCCTGAAAATACCTTGACATACCAAATATCAAACTAAACAAATCAGTTTTAGCCTGCTACTGTATCTTTTCCTGGATGCCGTGCCACACATTGGCACCTACATGTATGAAGTACTCCTCTGTTTTTGTCACCTCTTTAAAAGCCTGTTTTTTTTTTCTGAAGTGAAAATTGGCATGAAGGCTAATTCCTACAGTGTCCATATTTTAAATTCTGTGCTGAGAAATTGATTACACATATTTCAAATTTGTACATGTACATGTATGCTGCTCAAATTAATTTTTCAGATTTTTAGAGCCCGTAATATTAAAAAAGTGACTGAGAAGAATTATCATTGTTTTTCTTCATATTTTGGAATTTAGTCATACGTATATAAATCAGAATAAAAATAAATCAGATTTTTTTGGGATGATTTAACCTTCAGAGGAGGATTGTGAAGTCTTGGAAGTTGAATACCTTAGGTTCTATATGTACATGCAGCTCTATGATGGTTCTTGCCCTAGCAGTAGGTTTTTAAAGCCATTATTTGTGCTATCATCAAAGCAAATCATTAGATCCCTTTGCCTTGTTATAGGGTTTCCAGTACAGTGTTCTCTCTTGTCTTTCGATGTCTTTTTACTGTTTAGCCACGCTACTTGACCGTACTGACTGTAAGGAAATAACTTTTATCCATTCAAGAATGAGTAGATCACTCAACCTGTGTGGAATGCACTTCCCCTGCTCTCCATTAACACTACTTCTCTGCATTGCTGTACATTATGGCAGAAAGTGTTAAATGTTCCAGCACCTGTCAGTTCCATGGGGAAGTCTTTGTATTGAAATATTGGATGTTTTCTTGACTTCTACATATTAGTTATTAAAATGAGAGGTTTCGTCATGCTTTTTACATTCAGATGGAGAGTGCATACCAAGCAAAGGTTGAAGCTCTGCAGGAACGAGAAAGAAGTACTATTGAAAGAATTCAACATCATCAAGAGGTTTGTGTATCGGTATTTCATTAAGCGGAGATACATGTTTGTAATGTACAATGGATGGAGTTGAGATGGGTTGGTGTTTGTACGTTTTACAGAACAAACATGATGTAATAGCATATTGGAAGCCAGTGGGCATGTAATGCAGAGTACTAAACAATTGTGAAATAGTTTTTCTGTTTATTAAATCAAAATCCTGCCATGGAGAAAAATGGTATGTCTTGTAGCAAATAATTTGCACATTCCCCACAAGTCCTCATCGTGCAATCTTTCATGTCGCATTTGAGGTGGTACTTTGTGGCTACGACTTTCATTTTTTATGTTCAAGCATTTTGAATTCTCAGTTCTGATTGGTCAGTCCATGGCAACAAACAGTGTGATATGTAACTGTATTGCATTGTTCATAATCAAACCCCGCGTAACAACCAATTCTAATTTCGCTATTGTTACACTTAAAAGCAAAACACTCCACTGCCAACTTTACTGTAAATTCAATGGTGGCACGTGTATACGCATATCTTTTTGTTTTATTCTGCGTTTCACTTGTACTTGTAAGAAAATTAATATTACAGCAGGTGTGCCAACATGTACATGTGGGTGAATAGCTGTATCAATTGTCATCCATTGATCAATTTGAATTATACTTCTTTGTGGCCATCAATCTCTAATGAAATATAGTACTCCATAGTACTAATATTGATACACTCAGTGGTGTTTTTTTCCTGTTCCTATAGAAGGTAGAACGTGAGACCTACTCTCAAAGGCAGAGCCTACTGGAGGAATTACAGGCATTGAAGCAGAAAGAAGTAGAACTGAAAAGAGAGGCCGAGTTGCATAAAAGGTAAAGTCCAGCGTGTAGAATTGATCGCCAGATTGTAATTACTCAAATGCTAATTCAAAGCACAGCTGTTTAGCTTCAACTTTTTTCTCTGAAACATGCCTTGTTTAGAAAATGTTCACTTTGAAAGCCGTCACAACCAAAACAGAATAAAATGGTTAGACAACAATGAGCAAGGCAACATTATGGTCAGTTTTTTGGTCTTCTAACATTTCTGGAAAATTTCTAAAAGTAAGTAAATGCTGAGTTTGTAATTTTAATTTGTTTTTCTTGTTCTTGAATCACTTACCATAAATTCACTTATCTTAAGTTAAAAACAACTGTAATGAAAGCAGTTTTAGTTCAGAAACAGAAAACATTTTATCAAGACTAAAATATGAAATGAAATGCTACAACAAGATTGATTGATGTTGTGATTGTCCCAGGGCAATGAACGTGGAAGAGAGCAGACGGAAAAATATGGAAGAAAACTTGAAGATACGGGAAGCATCCATAGCAACAATTGAAGACACTTATGACAAAAGATTCAAGGAAAAGATACGACAGTAAGTGGACTGGTTTCTTGTCTTTTTTTTTGCCTTTTTTTTTTGAGGTGATGTTTTGCAACTAATACTGAACCATTTTGCAAGACTGAAAAAACTCAAGCTAAAATGTAATTTCTCACCGAAATTTACAGGCCATAATCAGCAATGACCTACATTAACTGTCAGTAATGTAGGTCAGTTGTCAATTACCTAGACACGAGTCTGTTGTGGGTTGGACCTACTGGTGATGACTCATGATTTGTTTTTCCGCAATGAAATGAGTTTATCAAATGTTAATTCCCCATTGGGTAAAATCTCACTTAGACACATTAAGCCGAGGGAACTGTGCATCCCCGAAGGTATTCAAAATGTCATGTTCCACATCATGACAGTCACAAGTGTTTTTCGTATCTTTGTCTTGATGTTTTTCTGTGGGAAATAAGGGACAACAAAAGAATTTTTTGAATAGTAGTGGTTATCAGTCCATGGTGGTCACTGCATTATCCTGCACACTGCATGTGTTTTAATGATATACATGTACATGTACAATGCTGGCTGATGCAATGTTTAATGGTGAGTGTGACATGCGGTTATGTCACCCTGTCACATGATCTTTCTGAGTCAATGAAAAAAAAATGGTATTCAAGACAAAGGTATGGACTGCTTTTGATACATGCACAGTCGAACCTCATTAATAAGAGGCCCTTCAGATTTGGCAAATTAACTTGTTAGAATAGGAACCTTGTATTATCAGGAATGAAAACAATGAAAAACCAAGGATTGGGACCTAAAAAATACCCTTGTTTAATAGACAGTGTTTATAATGTTAGTGGATGAAATGTGCTATCCACCAACTCTCAGTGTATAAGTACGTGTAATATTGTCAGATTGAACTGAACATGGGAAAAGTGAGTGCATTAGGCAAAGTTTGCAAATACCAAGTTGTCATGGTTGTAGAGCAAACTTACTAAAAATACTCATGCATGCAAATAGGGCTGAAATGATACGCTTGTGTCAAGATACGATACATACGTGTACGTGTATCACAGTACATACCAAATGATACAATATGTATCGCGATATATCTTAATTAAAAGAACAAATAAACTCATAACAGATGAACTCACTTAGAGCCCAAGCAACTGTAAGAAGGAAATATACTGGTTTTAAATTATTTAATTTTAAATTTATAAAATCTATCAAATTTATAAAATTCATACAATTGATAGGCCTAGTTGTTTTACGAAGTAACTTAATTTTGATTTAGCCACTTGAATTTTTTACATTGAATTTCAGACATGACTTTTTAAATTGCATTAACAATTATATTTACCATTAATTTACCAGTGTGGGCCCTACTTCATAACAACAAAACAGTTCCTGCTTACTGTTTTTCGTTTTGTCCACTTTCCGTTCTCCATTGCTGTTAGCGTCGGGTGATTTTTAAAAAATCAAAGTGTTTCCATACAGAAGATTGCTGGAGGTGGAGGAAATCGTTATCCCC